TGGAATAGAAGTAAAAAAATGTCAGAATAGATACACCTGTCTGATAGACATCTGCTTATAGAAATTATGCAAATATTTGCTGAGGCTTATATTTGCATTGCTTGTATGTGACTGATAACAGCTGTTAACAATCAAAAAAGCAGAGTAGCATTTCCATGTGGGTTTTCTTGGTCCATGTCCACAATTCCCAAAGGAGAGGGAGTTTCCACCAAGCCTTGGTGGCCAGTGTCCTTCTGTGTGTCATGGGCACGTCAGTGTAGGACGATGGTGACACTGGCCATCCAGGGCAATAGAAGGATCGTGAGGAGACCCCTTGACTTTCACACATTGCAGCCACAGCTTCCAAGGGGGTTTGCTAGGAGGAAGACAAGGGTGAAGGTCAGGGTTGTGCTGACAGCTCCTGATGGCACACTGTTGTCTTGTGTAAATATTTCCACCTTTTTTCCAGAAAATTTAAGTCGCAGTCAGTGCTTGAGAAGAGTCCTAGCCTTCATAACACGGCGCCTGAGCTGCCTCCAGCAAGTGCCTTTCACGAGAATGCACAACTGTTGGATTTCACAGGCCACAAAACCTCATGAAATGCTGCAAAAGTATTGGCTCTTAACTGCAGATTTTGTGGTGTCACCTCAAGATTGCTGCTACAGTGACAATACCAAGTCGTTAGAGCAAACGTCCTAGATGAGCTTTAACATGGCAGTCATACCAAAACCACACAGGGTGCAGGGCAGTGTAAATTTCTCACCTACAGGCATTTAGATCAGCTTTACCTGGAATTAACATATCCTAAAATACAGTTTTTTGAAAGTACTCTCCAAGACTTCTCTTCTTTTGAAGGAAATACCAATAGAGTTGTGGCAATTAATACGCTCATCAAGAGCATGGTCTTGATGAACCTGGGAGCAGCTCTGGGTTCTGTCTGAGCCCGGCTGGTCTCCCACCCCAGAACATTATCTGCTAATTTGTGGCCATACACAGAATATTACGCCGTGCTGTAAGGTCATCTTTCAGCTCTACACTTGTATTTGGCTCACTACATTAATCCTATTTAATAGAGGATACAGGTCTGGTTTTGTGTCAGGAGATTTTCTGCTGTTGGCATCCCTGGCCCTTCTGCTACCCCACACTTAGAACCGTTGGGACACAAATAAATCTTAATTTCATCATGCAAGAAAATGTTAGGTTTGATTCCTGTTTATCATAGAAGCATTAAAGCAGTGTATGGTTATGAAAAAATGTGAGGTTTTATTTTGCAGGCAGCTTTGATGTGCAAGACTCCTTTTCAGAAGTCTAATTTTAATTTTCTTTTGGGAAAAGAGAGAAAACTCCAGAGTATGCAGGCTAAAGCTTCTTTTTTTCTCTATTTTTTCTTTTTTTCCTTTATTATTTTTTCTTTTTCTGTTATTCTTTTTCTATTTTCTTTATACATTTTTTCTCTTTTTCTTTTTTTTCTCTTTTCTTTTTTCTTTTCTCTTTTTTCTTTTTTTTTCTTGTTTCTTTTTCTTCTTTCTTTTTTCTTTTTCTTTTTTTTCTTTTTTCTTTTTTCTCTTTTCTCTTTTTTTTTCTTTTTATTTTTTTCTCTGTTATTTTTTCTTTTCCAGTTTTTTCCTTTTATTTTGGTTTAGAACATGGCAGATGGGAGTCTCCATGCCTGCTTATAAATGCAGAAGAATAGGAATAATAATCTCACATTAATGACAGTTAGTTGTGGCCTGAGATTATGACCTTGCTTCTTTCCAAAACGTGGCATTATGCAGACTGTGTGGCTGGTTTCAGATGGAATATTAAGAAATATGTAACTTTCCATCTCTTCCCAGAGAAATTAAAAGCTGTGCATGTTCCTCATGTTTCTACCTGTTTGTGGCAGAAGAATGAAGCCAGAATGCAAAATGCATTACCTGCTTTCTGAGAGAAATAAGTTACCTGAGAATCAGTCCTGAGAAATATTCCTTCATAGGAGAAACTTGGGAAGATCCAGGCTCATTTCTTCATTTTACTCTCCCAGTTTCTTCTTCTGACTCTGTTACTGGCTCACTGTGGGCTGGATTACAAGAGGGCTGCTTAGGCACCTGAAAATGTACTTAGAAATAAGGTACCTGTCTCACTGTGTGATATTTACTTCATAAGGGATGAATTCTAGAATATGAAATCAGTCTTGTTTTCCCATTTTTTTCATCTGTTAGCTTTTTGTCAAATTTGACTTGAAATCTAAACATTCGTATTTATTTTATTTTACTTCCTACAAAAGAGACTATATGAAGTTAGAGAGTATGTCAGTATCTGTAATTTCTGAGGGTAGGGATGACTTTGGCTTTGACTGGAAGGGACGCGTGGTTTAGATGTCTGTTCAGATGCTCTTCAGTCTCACTTGGAAACAAGAAAAATACCAGTTGGAGGTTATTCTTGCTGGAGAAGACCACATGGCCCATGCCTTGTGCATCCAGGAAAACCTCAATAGCTTTATCTCCGGCTTTACCCTGGCTCTTTTTGGTCCATCTCCCTTTTTCTGTTCCATGGATCTCTGTGTTACCCGTAAGGACAGGGAGAAAAGAGCACCACCGTGGTGCAGATTCCTTGCCTTGGAGAAGATGCAGCCACAAGCAGCCCACACCACTTGGGTTTTGAACGTCAGCCACTTCTCTTCCAGCAGGTTGAGATGTTCCATGCATGGCTGTTTGGATGGTGCCTCGCCACCCCGAATGTAAACTACCTCCGTTGACAAAACTCCCTACCAGTTACAAAAAATCAGTGTGTTTTATGTGGTCGCAGCTGCTCTAATGCGGCAAATTATTTTAAGAGCCATTCAAAACACGGAATTTAAATCAAGTATTACTCTCTAAATGATTCACTGTCTCATTTGTGATTAGTCAAGCAGAGACATAATGCAGTTACACTTAAGCTTTACTTTAAAAGAGTTGTAAATTCACACTCATGCTTATTTTCCATGGTAATACCCTGGAAAACATTTGGATTCCCACTCAGCTCTTTAAAAAAGCCAAACAAGTGTGTATTCTTTCAACAGTAAGTCTCAATTAACCACTGCTTATGTCCCAGTATGAAACCTCTTCCTAAATGTGCCTCGTCTCTTCTTCTGACTCATCAGCCTGTGTCTCGCGTCACCTTACAATCAGTCAGTTTTAGTTATTTACTTTTCAGTCTTTCTTTTGCTCTGAACCTTCTAAGGAACTGGAACTAGAGAAAAAAAAACACCTGCCACATCTTCACAAGACAAGTCTTTGGCAGTGCTGACTGTGTAGCCCAACGAAGGGGTTATTTGTGCTGAGAAAATATGTATTAAGTGTAATAAGGTTCCCATGTTGTAACTGAAATCTCTTCCAGCAACTGAATTTCCCACTCGTGCCCTCGTTTTTGTAGATTCTCTGCTTTCTGGTGTCCCAGTGCTGCTTCACGTCACAGGTTAAGTTAAGGGTTATTCCTCTTCTCAGCTGAAGACCACCTTGAGAGAAACAGCAAGTTTATGAGAAGTTAAATCCTTCACTTCTGAAAGAGAAATCTTTAATAAATAGGTGAAATATTTTCAGAGTAACCATACTGCTTGGAATGAATAGCTGTTAGAAAATAAAAATACATGCCAATATTGTATCTGAAATACTGCTAAAAGCATGTTATTCAGACTTCCTCCAACCCCAGCAGCCCTAGATCATAATCTCAGCTCTGGAGTCCGGTGAGTGCATATTATAATCCAGTGATTATACTCCAGTATGCTTTCTATAATCTTCCCTAATAAAATAAAAGTAATAATAAAGTATGCCTGCCCCAGGCACTTGCAGTCCTGCCAAGCTGGGCACTAAACAGCTGTGTTTACCTTCACAAAGGTTAAAACCAGATTTGCAGTGAAACTCTGTGAGGGAGGTCCTGGAGGTGTGCAGTTTTATTTTATGGAGGGTTGCTGAGCTCGTAAAGCCTTTGTTGCCCGAACTACCTCACATAATAAAGAAAATGCATGTATTTGATACCTTTACAGCTGAGCATCCATGCAGACTTGGGGCTTTTTTTATTTTTTTTTTTGATTTCTAGAAAGAATAGTGTGTGAGTTTATATTTTATTTTGGTATTCTGATTGGAGATAAGGTAACCTTGGATGAATGTGGTTTCAGGGTGAAAGGCAGAGCCTTTGGTGGCCTCGCTCCTCAGATGCACCTGGGATGTTTATCTTCAGAGGTGATTTCCACTGGGAGGTACCTTGTTACCCCGCTGTAGCTCACAGCAAGCTGGAGCTGACCTCCATGTACTCAGATTTATAAGCCCCATGCTCTCCTGCCCCAGGTGGGGTGAGGAGTGAGTGCTGTGTCTCTCTGGTCTGTGTGGGTACCTGTGAATTTTCTCTTAACCCCAAAGTCAGCAGCTGCAGGTTCACAGTCCACAATTTCCACACAGTTCCCATCAGAGGCTCTGTGGCCTCTCCTTTTGAAACTCCTGAAGGAATGCATTGGTAATTAATGCATTTTTCCTTGCTATTTCTGAGAATACCACATCATTTTAGAGGCTGAGATAGTCGTGATGGGCATGGGAGTTTATTGACTTACTTTTCCTTGGTCCATTCTTCTCATGGTGGGTTCATATTAATTTAATGCAAGTTTCATTTTTTTGATGTTTTTTGTGTTTACTTTTAGTGTTTGTTCAAATTCATTCAGTCATTCGCTACTAATGTAAGAGACTTCTGTCACATTTACTTGTGATGTTGCTAGTTCTATTGCAGAGGGAGAAGGAAAAAACACTTCTTTTTTTTTCTGAACGTTTCCTTAAGTGTAGCATTTGTTCTGCTTGTTTCTGCAAAAGCAGCATATGGCATTACCTGTGTATTTGTCACCGTTTTGTTTCTTTCTGAGTAATCCTTTGTAATGCAGTTTACATACGTACTGTCAGGCACCTTCAAAATGGCTTAAGATGGTTGTTTTGCATTTCATAGTGATATAAAATTGTAAATGCAGGGGGAAATTTTGGAACTGTTTTTACTAAATCTGTGTTTTCATTTCCCTAAAGTTTCAGACCCAGAGTTTACGCCTCTCGGACCTGCACAGAAAATCTCAGCTCTGGAGAGGGATAGTCAGTATCACCTTGATCGAAGGTCGTGAGCTGAAGGCCATGGATGCAAATGGATTAAGTGACCCTTACGTGAAGTTCCGGTTGGGACATCAGAAGTACAAGAGCAAGGTAATTTCAGCTGTGCCCAAACATGTGCATTGGCTGTTTGTGGGTATTTTTTTGGCCTGGAGTGACTATTTACATAGTGATGGAGATTTATTGTTATATTAATTGGCTGCCAGGGCACCTGGAGCTTCGTTTAGATGTATTTTTTTTATTTCTTAATAAACAAAAATAATTCTAGATGGGTGAAAAGGTAGCACTGAAAAATGCGGGGTGGTGAGGAGTCACACCTGATTTTCCATACGGACTGTGTTGGCTTTGGTTGCCTGTTGTGGGTCATTCCTGGGGAGAGAAGTGGAGTGATCCTGACCAGAAGGTGCACCTTCATGCCTTTTGGGCTTGATGCCAGTCACCCCTTGGACCCTTTGCATGGTCTTTCCCCTGAGCTGTTGTCGTGCTTGTACTCTCACTGTCCTCATTCTGGCCTTAAAACGAGTTTCATTGAAGTTTTCTGTGTGTATGAGCTTAAGGGGCAGAGAGGATTGATCAGGGAGAAAATGACTGTGGAGACTTCTGGCTTTCTCACTCTTATTTCCCCAATCCCTATTGGTTTGAAAACTGCTGTTTATGGAAGATGCTGGGACCTTCCTCTCTCGATATCCTGCCGACCTCTGAGCCAGCCTGGCAGACTCTTCATCTGAAATTAGAAGAAATCAAATTTCATGCTTTTCTGACTTCAAAACCTTCACAGCATCTCTGCGGCTTAATCCTCTCTAATTTTTCCATTTTTTCAAGCCAGTGGGACTGGTGGGTGTAGAAAGCAGCAATTGCTTCCTGGGGAAGGTAGGAGACAGTTTCCATTCCTGCCCAGGCCAGGTGTGACTACGGTGACTACTGCTTTTGCATTACAGCAGAAAAACCCACAAGCTTTCTGTTCTGCAGAGCGTGGTCGGAACTACATGGACTGAAATCCATTGAAGTGGCTTCTTTTGTCAGAAGTGACACTGGACTGAAAGTGATTGAGAAAGCTACTTTCATCTGAGTTGCAAAGGAAAGGTGTGTGAGTTTATATTTTATTTTGGTATTCTGATTGGAGATAAGGTAACCTTGGATGAATGTGGTTTCAGGGTGAAAGGCAGAGCCTTTGGTGGCCTCGCTCCTCAGATGCACCTGGGATGTTTATCTTCAGAGGTGATTTCCACTGGGAGGTACCTTGTTACCCCGCTGTAGCTCACAGCAAGCTGGAGCTGACCTCCATGTACTCAGATTTATAAGCCCCATGCTCTCCTGCCCCAGGTGGGGTGAGGAGTGAGTGCTGTGTCTCTCTGGTCTGTGTGGGTACCTGTGAATTTTCTCTTAACCCCAAAGTCAGCAGCTGCAGGTTCACAGTCCACAATTTCCACACAGTTCCCATCAGAGGCTCTGTGGCCTCTCCTTTTGAAACTCCTGAAGGAATGCATTGGTAATTAATGCAGTTTTTCTTGCTATTTCTGAGAATACCATGTCATTTTAGAGGCTGAGATAGTCGTCATGGGCATGGGAGTTTATTGACTTACTTTTCCTTGGTCCATTCTTCTCATGGTGGGTTCATATTAATTTAATGGAAGTTTCATTTTCTTGATGTTTTTTGTGTTTACTTTTAGTGTTTGTTCAAATTCATTCAGTCATTCGCTACTAATGTAAGAGACTTCTGTCACATTTACTTGTGATGTTGTTAGTTCTATTGCAGAGGGAGAAGGAAAAAACACTTCTTTTTTTTTCTGAACGTTTCCTTAAGTGTAGCATTTGTTCTGCTTGTTTCTGCAAAAGCAGCATATGGCATTACCTGTGTATTTGTCACCGTTTTGTTTCTTTCTGAGTAATCCTTTGTAATGCAGTTTACATACGTACTGTCAGGCACCTTCAAAATGGCTTAAGATGGTTGTTTTGCATTTCATAGTGATATAAAATTGTAAATGCAGGGGGAAATTTTGGAACTGTTTTTACTAAATCTGTGTTTTCATTTCCCTAAAGTTTCAGACCCAGAGTTTACGCCTCTCGGACCTGCACAGAAAATCTCAGCTCTGGAGAGGGATAGTCAGTATCACCTTGATCGAAGGTCGTGAGCTGAAGGCCATGGATGCAAATGGATTAAGTGACCCTTACGTGAAGTTCCGGTTGGGACATCAGAAGTACAAGAGCAAGGTAATTTCAGCTGTGCCCAAACATGTGCATTGGCTGTTTGTGGGTATTTTTTTGGCCTGGAGTGACTATTTACATAGTGATGGAGATTTATTGTTATATTAATTGGCTGCCAGGGCACCTGGAGCTTCGTTTAGATGTATTTTTTTTATTTCTTAATAAACAAAAATAATTCTAGATGGGTGAAAAGGTAGCACTGAAAAATGCGGGGTGGTGAGGAGTCACACCTGATTTTCCATACGGACTGTGTTGGCTTTGGTTGCCTGTTGTGGGTCATTCCTGGGGAGAGAAGTGGAGTGATCCTGACCAGAAGGTGCACCTTCATGCCTTTTGGGCTTGATGCCAGTCACCCCTTGGACCCTTTGCATGGTCTTTCCCCTGAGCTGTTGTCGTGCTTGTACTCTCACTGTCCTCATTCTGGCCTTAAAACGAGTTTCATTGAAGTTTTCTGTGTGTATGAGCTTAAGGGGCAGAGAGGATTGATCAGGGAGAAAATGACTGTGGAGACTTCTGGCTTTCTCACTCTTATTTCCCCAATCCCTATTGGTTTGAAAACTGCTGTTTATGGAAGATGCTGGGACCTTCCTCTCTCGATATCCTGCCGACCTCTGAGCCAGCCTGGCAGCCTCTTCATCTGAAATTAGAAGAAATCAAATTTCATGCTTTTCTGACTTCAAAACCTTCACAGCATCTCTGCGGCTTAATCCTCTCTAATTTTTCCATTTTTTCAAGCCAGTGGGACTGGTGGGTGTAGAAAGCAGCAATTGCTTCCTGGGGAAGGTAGGAGACAGTTTCCATTCCTGCCCAGGCCAGGTGTGACTACGGTGACTACTGCTTTTGCATTACAGCAGAAAAACCCACAAGCTTTCTGTTCTGCAGAGCGTGGTCGGAACTACATGGACTGAAATCCATTGAAGTGGCTTCTTTTGTCAGAAGTGACACTGGACTGAAAGTGATTGAGAAAGCTACTTTCATCTGAGTTGCAAAGGAAAGGAAGTAAAATACAGTATTGGGGAAAAAAAAAAAAAAAAAAGGAATATTATTCCATAAAAAGTAAACCACAGTATCACCTTTCTGCCAGTATTACTGCAACAGGGGAAAGAGGACATGATAAAATTGTTTCTGTTTAAATCCTTACAGCCATCATCTACTTGTCATTGCAGGTGCTTTGTTTTCCTTTAGGCTCAGTCACATAAGTTTGCAGCTGACTGTCACTCAAAAGAGGGCGTAATTATTCTACAGAAAAATGGATCCATTCCCAGGGTAAATCCTTTGTTCAGGAGGCTTTTGAAGGTGACAGGTTGCAGGATTCTGGAGGTTGCTGTTGTATCAGAGAGGCATGAGACAACTGGCCAGGCATTTTTTCTAATTGCTATGTTTTTTTTTAATTCTCACTGCTTAAGATACTCGTACTGCAAACAGAAAAAAAACCTACTTCCTGAACAGAGTCTAAAGATCAAATTTACAATTCAAGAAAGCGTATGCCTGCACAATGCAATATGACTTTCCTTTTGCTCTCCTTTCAGATTATGCCAAAAACTTTGAATCCTCAGTGGAGGGAGCAGTTTGACTTTCATCTCTATGAAGAACGAGGTGGAATTATTGATATTACCGTGTGGGACAAAGATGCTGGCAAAAAGGATGATTTTATTGGCAGGTTTGTGCAATTACAGCCTTCTTGTTCCCTGGGGATGAGAGCAGATGATTAAAATGAGCCTTGCCGTTGAAACTATTTCTTATGACCATTTGTTCTTGCTTTCCTTTTTTTTTCCTTTAGAGGTGGGGGAGGATTTTTCACAAAGTGTCAGTGCAGTTCGCTGCCTTGATGTAATTCTTTACTTTCCTGGGGTAAAATTCTTTTTACTGACCAGTAGGTGGCAGCTTTTACCAATTGATAGACTTAAGTTTTCCAAAATGAAAATCCCAGGTTTATCCCAATAATCAAGATGCAGGAGGTTCCAAAGGGCAATGTCCAGCTTTTGGAGGAGAAATAACTCTTGTGACAGCCGCAAAAGACAAAAATGATGTGCTTAGTTTTTAATCTGCTTGGTAAATAATTGAGAGTCTTAGAGGAGAGTCTTAAAGGACTACACACAGCAACTGGGGCAAATAAATAAGATGACTCATTTTCAGGAAAACTGAATCTGTGGGATCTCTCTTGGAGTTCAAGAAGTGGTATAAGTTTGTGTGGTTACGCTCCATTGTACTGTGTAGGAGGAGGAAAGAGGATAATGTTTTTTAACAATGGCATTAACTAGGAAAAAACCGGGAAAAAAGGCTGTCTTGTGTTTACTGATTTTGTACAAAGTCAGTGCTATTTTGTTGTTTACATCATACTTTAATTTATATGCGAAAAAAGCTGTCTTGGATTACTGATTTTGTACAAAGTCAGTGCTGTTTTGTTGTTTACATCATACTTTAATTTATATCCATACAGTCATAATAAGAGTAATTATTATTAATCCCATCTATTTTGATTGTTTGTTAGAATATTGGTTGTAGATTCGTTCAATAGGGTGTTGATACTGATAAGTAGCAGAATTGCTTTTTTTGGTAGTTAAAAGCAGGAATACAAATCCCACAGACCAAGCCATGTTCTTTTGATATCAGTGCTGTTGTGTTTCTGATGACCTTCTCCTCCCTTTCATTACGTTTAGGGCAATGTTTTTTTTTACCAAATTATATCAGTTGGATAATACTCTATTTCCTACTGTAAATTGTGGGAGCTCTGAATACATGCAGAGTCTGTGGCAGGCAAACGGCTTTAATATCTGAGAAAACCACTTTTCCAAAGTATATATAGGAGGGTTTTATTTTATATATTGAAACCCTATGGACGGTGTGATACTTTTATATTTGAAGTTTACACTGCATTTTTCCCCTTGTTTGATATCAGTTGGTGCGTGGGGCAACAACAGCTATTTTTCTGAAGTAACTTAATGATTTAGACCTATTTCAGTACGTGATATGCCTTGGGAAATGATGCCTAATTTCTGCTTCATTTTAACTTTCTTATCCAAAAGAGGGTGAGATGCAGGTTTTTCAGGTGTGATTTTTCAGAACACTGTCAAAGTGGCACTTACTTACCTTGTTACTGTTACCAGTAATTGTAAAGTCCTTTTAAGAGCATTGCATGAATTAAAAGACATCCTTTCTGCTGCAAGGCACTTGAAACCTAAATAACAACGCGACAGAGAAATGAGAGAAGGAAAATTTGTAACTTCAAACACATAATTTGCCAAGGTAGCTTTTCAGATATCTAAAAAAGTTGTGTATCTTAAGTGTGCATATATTTATTTTTGGTAACTGCATGCTGTCATGCAGGTAACAAATGATTTCTACATATTATGTAGGCCAAAAAAAAATTGATAGTGTTCTCTAAAAAGAATGCTTGAAGCCTTTGAAATTTTTCAGTGGGAGAATCTTGTTTTGTTTGGTTTTCTGCCACTTTCCTCAGTAGATGTAATTCTTGTGTGTATCAAAAAGAGGATGGTCTTTGGACAAAGCCAAGCTGTAGTGCTTCTGCAGTATATAACTGATTTTATCAGAATCAGTGGCATTTCTCCCAAAATCTTGCTGCTCTTGATTTTTGTAACCTGTCTGCTGTTGGTGTACGTCCCTCCTCAGTTTGTCCTTTCAGACACTCTCTCATTACACCTTCTGTTGGTGCCTTATCTCTGGGTAATGCAACCTGCCAGCAGATTCCTCTCCGTGAGGATTTCCATCAAAAACTTTGTCATTTGTCAACCTCAATCTGAATATAAAAATAGGTCTTAATATTCCCCCTCCCTGATACTCTTTTCCAGTCGCTGTGGATAAAAATCTCGGGCACCTGACAGCTCCACTTTACATCGACTTCTCTTCCACACTTTCTCCTCTCGAGGCTGCCTCTAAAAGTGGGAAATACTTTGGTCCAGACAGTACAGACTCTGAGCATGTGGACTGGGTCATGGTCTATGGCTAAGGCTCTGTGGCTCTCAAGGCACATACAATAAATGGAATATTTTGACTCAGGTTCCAAGAAAAGTGATAATGAGTCTGTGGGAGGGAAATAAAAGCCATCGTGGTAGTATTGGTGTGATTGCTCAGTGATGGAGAGTTATCCCTTTCATCATACTGTGCTCTTCCCGCTTTCTTGAATCACATGCAAGCAGCAGCTCTTATATTATACAGGAATATGTGTATTAAATGCAGTGAAAACAGTTATTTCTTCAATATGCCCTGCCTGTCCAAAGTACGGCCATGGAGAAGCCATGCTTGATTGAGGAGATCCTGCTCATTGAGGGAAACAGCAAACCAAACTGAGAAAACAGAACAAAAATGTTTGTGTAAGGAGCAGTTCTCACCTCTCATCCACAGTGTTGGTTTTTTGTGTCCTCCATCTTCATCTGCTTGATGAGCACACCTGAAGGTCAGCAGAACTTCCCCTGCAAATCAGGCATTATTGAGCTTTGAAGAGATCCATCCCTAAAACTGTTCCAGTGTTCCAAACTGAGCTGTGGGTGAACAGGGCCTTTGGGTGGAAGGCTGAAGGGATAAACTCCAGGTCCCTCCTGGAAAACACCATGGGAACCCCCCTTGAGTGGAAATGCTTTTCTCTGCTCAACTTCATAACTTGCAAATTTTATTTCAGAACAGAATGTCATAACTTCTCCTGGACTAACACTATCTCAGCTACACTTCAGTGAAATGAAAGAAGTGGGAAATGTGACCAAGTAGACTTGTGTGGGCCCTGTGTGTGTCACCACACTCGTTAGGCTGCAGCATGTGAAGGGCCAGGATGAAGCTGGGAACATCATGAGGTGGTGGTGGGATATGTGTTCATACTGCGAGGGCTGGGACTGGCCATCCTTTCTTGAGGGCAGGAAGGTGAAGGAAAGCTGTCCAGGCAGGCTGAAGACATGGAAGTGAGACTGGGGCCTTGGGGCAGCCTGGCAGGAGGAGGATTAGGAGATTAGGAGATTAGGAGGATTTAGGAGAGCCACCAAGATGGTGAGGGGCCTGGAGAACAAGTCCTATGAGGAGAGGCTGAGGGAACTGGGCATGTTTAGTTTGGAGAAGAGGAGGCTGAGGGGAGGCCTCATTGCCCTCTACAACTCCCTGAAAGGAGGGTGTAGAGAGGTGGGGGTTGGCCTCTTCTCCCAAAGGATGAACGACAAGACCAGAGGAAATGGTCTGAAGTTGTGGCAGGGGAGATTTAGATTAGATATTAGAAAGAACTACTTTCCTGAGAGGGTGGTCAGGCCCTGGAACAGCCTGCCCAGGGAGGTGGTGGAGTCACCATCCCTGGAGGTATTTAAGAAACGTATAGACATGGCTCTTCAGGGCATGCTCTAGTGCCCAAGGTTATTGGTTTATGGTGAGGTGTTGAGTGTGGGGTTTAGTTGGTGGGTGCGGTGTTTTTGGTGGGCGTTTGGTGTGGTGTGTTTTGTATTTGTTTGGTGTGTGGTTTTTTTTGGTTTTTTTGGTTTTTTTTTGTTGTTTGGTTTTGTTCTGTTTTTGTTGTTTTTTTGGTTTTTTTTGTGGTTGGACTCGATGATCTCAGAGGTCCCTTCCAACCACTAAGATTCTGTGATTCTGTGATTCTGTGATGGAGTGGAAGGGGGGGTCGGTAAGAGGGAGGAGGGTGTTGAGAGGGTGAGAGTGGCTGCGTGGCATCCTGATTCAGAGGAGGAGAAAGATGTGTCTGTCCCAGAGCGAGCGTAAAGCTCCTGTTTGGTACCCCAGCACGGCAGTTCCTGGAGTGAGATGGTCACTCTTTGGTTTCTGTTCTGATCTTTGAGCTTTATGTGCTTCTAAAATCCATTTGATCCTCAGCTCTGCATTCTCCATGACAGTTTAAAGGATGGTAGCACCTTGTGAACTTCTGTCTTAGGATGCCCTAAAAAACTGAAATCCAAGAAACATTTTAGTGTTTCTTTGGGGCTTTCAAAAGCCTTAAAAAAAAGGTGTCACAGAATCACAGAATCTTCTAGGTTGGAAGGGACCTTAAAGATCATCTTGTCCAACCGTCAACCTAACTGACAAAAATAGACACCCACACAACAAACAAGGAGCATCATCACTAAACCAGACCTCCCAGCACTACATCAACCCGTCTTTTGAACACCTCCAGGGATGGGGCCTCAACCACCTCCCTGGGCAGCCCATTCCAAGGGCTGAGAACCCTTTCAGGGAAAAAATTTTTCCTAATATCCAGCCTGAACCTCCCCTGGCGCAACTTGAGGCCATTTCCTCATGCAAAAGAAAAATACATTTCGATTCATATACTGATTTGTATGAGGAGACACTGGGCTTGACCAGAACTGAGTTTCATCGTGCAGGAGGTTAAATTCTGACATTCTTCTAAATATAATTAAAAAAAAAAAAAACCCAACCCATTCCAGGACCGAAGACATGAGATCTAGAAGTCCTTTTTTTGGAAAGAACCAGCAGTTAAAGCCACAGGGGCAGCCTTTGAGCATTCAGATCACCATGTGGAGTTGCCTGAGCAGCACAAGTCATTACTCCATCTGATAAGTAGAAATTCTTACATGTATGTGTGTATGTTGTTCAGTTTTAGTACATGCAATATTCACGTGTTTTTGCTACGAGTAAATCATTTCTCTTCCATATTGAGTCAATATACTCCCGTGATTAAAAACATATACCGCAGTA